CAACTCCTCCCCAGCCCCGGAATCCTTCATGTCAGGACCCGGGGCCAAGCCATCCTCCAAACCCTCCACGTTTGGAGAAAAAGCAGAGTCCATCGGAAAAGCAGGGATGAAGGGAGGCCCACTGGCGTGGCCCAAAAGCTCCGGCAGGAGGACCAGGCTCGAATGCTTCTGCTGCCGATCCGGAAGGGGCAATCCCCAAAGCCACCAGAGTCTCACTAAGTATAATTCAGCGGGGCAGCTGTGGGGCATCTGGAAAGGCAACCAACCTCGCACGTTGCTGCAACTTAAAACTTGCATGCAACGCTAAAACTGCCTGCACCCAAATATCAGTCTCAGTGGACTGGGTGAATGGAGTACAAGGAAAGAACACCACTCACAGGACTCCGGGTCATAGATGTCACTGACCCCAACAAGCAGCAAGGCGGAGGCAGATGGTGAATGTCACCCCAAAACAGGGGGACAGCAACTTTCAAACTCGCACAAGGGGAGGTGGGACTCAGAGGTCTCCTACATTGGGCCACTGAGCCCCAATGGGGGTTTTCAGGGCCCTTAGTCTGATTGCTAAGGGAAGCCCAGGCAAGATACTGCTAACCGGTTATCCCAGAGCTCCAAGCAAACAATCTAAAAGCTGAATCCTTGCGACGTGTGCAAGCATGGGGACCTAGTGGAGGGCCACCAAAAACCTACCTGTGGTCCTACCGCCACACCTGGCAGACCCCCGCCAGGCAACACAAAACAAAAACACAAGAAAACCCCCGCAAAAGCACGTCTCCAGGAGAACAGAACCGGTCGCTATGGGTATAACAGACAGCTGCACAGTACCTCGCGCCCCAGCCAGCAACGAAACTACCTTCTAACCCAAGGAAAACAGGAGTAAGAACCTCCCCAGCTGAGCCCCCAAGGGCGGGCAATCACCGAGCAGCGACAGAACCACACGGAGGTAGCAGCTCCTGAATGGCTCATGGAAGATAACCCTGAGGCCGCAAAGGCAGTACTTATGGGGCACCTAGGGAAGGCGGCCCTAGGTGCATGCAGCCCCAGTACTCTTGTGTTACGTCTGGCTCACAAACCACCAAAACAGAACACCACCACCGCACTGCAGCACTGCGCAAAAAGTGAAGCCAGAGCGATCGACCGTCACCAACACAACAGCCTCTTGAACTGAGGAGAGTTGTCGGCGTGGAGGTCTGGGACTGCCCCCTTCCCCCTCCCGGGGAGGGGGGGTTGCGCAGATGGATGCGCGGCGTTTCCTTGGTTTTGATTGGGGAGTTCTGTTGCTAGTTCAGCTTTTGGTTTGCAATTTATTTGATCAGCAGTAGTTTGTTTTGGAATTCCTACCTTTCTGGGTGCCTGACCTGGTAGATGACAAAGACTACTTCCAATTACACGGGGGTGTGGTGTCTTTAGGCCATTGCTCCTTGTGCTCTCTTGGGGCCAGGTTCTGGCTCTAGTCCCTGGTAGGCTTAGAACTCATTCGATTGACTGTTGCCACGGTCTAATATATACACATCAGCCCGACATAGTTCTGGGGAGCCGAAGGGGTTCTCCACAGAAAAGAAATGTTCCATTCCAATTAGCTATAGTTATATAATTATAATCAAATGGGTTAAATATCTGGAGAAATGATATCCTGTAATAACAGACACTATGGTTTTCGAACTTGAAGATCCTGTGTAACAAATCTACGTAGTTTCTGTGACAGTCACTGAGATTTTACAGGAAAAAGATGGTTTGATTGACTGCATTTATTTTTCCTGAATTTACCTGAGGGCCATTAACATTCTAATGACCTCGACAAGGACAGGAAGCCGGCAGCTTATCATTGGTCCCTCCATTTCTCCTAATGAATTTTTTTAATTGATTTAAAAATTCAATAGAGTTTTGTCATTTACAGCTTCAGCGGGTAGGCAGTTCCATAGGATTATAACCCTGTGGGTGAAAAATCATCTCCTGTTTTCAGTCCTACATTGTGACTGGTTGAGCTTGAAACTGTTGCTCCTTGTTTGTGTTACATCTGACCTTGTGAAGAAACTGTCTGGATCAATATCCTCCAAATTATTCAGTATTTTACAAGTTTTGATGTTGTCCTGTCATGCCTGGTTTGCAGTGCTGTTAGCCCTGTGGCCCTCAACAATTCCTGATATGAAAACTGATCGAGTTCTGGATGATTTTTGCTGCTGCTGAACTGGTGCTGAACTTTCTGCAATGCAACTATATCTTTTTGAAGATGGGGTCTTCATGCTTGCCTACAATAATCCAAGTGGGGGTACAGCAGAGATTTAAACAGTTGAATAACTACCATCTATCCTTAAAGTCAAAGGAACACTTGATTATTCATGGGTTTGATTAGTTTTTACTGTTGCTCCCACCTGTTGCGTAACTTTCAGCAAAAGGTGGATTTTGAGACTCCAAGGTCCTTTTCTTCATCAATCTGCTGCAAGGTAATGTTATTAATATGGTAGTTGTGTTGTGAGTTGCTATGCTCCACATGCAAGGTCATGCCTTTTTTATATTAAAAAAGCATTTACGTCGTCTGACCATTTGTGGAGTTCATGGAGATCTCTTTGTAAGACCCCCAATACCATTTTCACTTCCCACTTTACCATAAAACTTAGCACACAGAGAAATCACATTATCATGAAATATCAATAAACAAATCCACAGGAGGCATGATGAGGATTCAAACCTATGCGCTGGGTGTTCACAAATGCTTGTTCTAGCTAACTGCACCATGACATGGTAAAAGATTACAACCTGAGGTACTACTCCACACACAAGGATCCCAAGGCTTCTACTAAAGCCGAACCAGAGTTTCACACAATTTCTCCCCATGCACTCGGGCTCTGTCGTTCAGTAGTTCTACCTCTGATGCCCCTCTTTCAATTCAGAGAAATCATATTAACATGATATATCAATGAACAAATCCTCAGGAGCCATGGATTTCAAGAATTCCAGCGCGGCCGTGGTCATCACTACATGGGATAGACTTTTAGACAAACTGAGAGTGCCTCGCCCCACGCCCCCAGCACCATACGCTCGTTCGACCCATACGCGTACAAACAGATGTCATATTTCAAGTAAACCATCGTAAACTAATTCAAATTTTATGAGGAATTTGATATCATATACCAAAACATTCATACTCTAGGGCAGTCGTCACCCGAGGTTCCACTGTATCTTCTTTTCTGGTGAAGAATGAGTCAGCAGGTGATCCTCAGGTGACTGATGCTTCGTTGGTTCAGCCAAGGGTGCATCAGTTTTTGTCCCATGGTGCCTCTTTGCTACTACCTGCATGCCACATTTGTGTCAGTGGATACCTTGATGGTTGATTCTGTTTCCTTGGTTCCCTGTTCCAAGGCTCTCATTTCTCAGATTTTCTACAGTGTCATCAAGTCTAGCCAGCCTGTGGTCTACCATCGATCCCATGATGTTTGTAAATATGCAGCTTTGGTTGCCATCTTCTCTCATATGCCCTGGGCTGATATTCAAGCTAGGGGTTTTTGCCATTCTAACTGAATGCTGGTAATCCAGTATATGGTTAATGTTCCTGGGGCCCAGTCAGTTGAGTGCAGCACCATGTCGCTTGGCCTGGTTTCTCTTCTTCGTCCTTAGTTTTTGCCACCTCTCATTCCTGGTAAGTCCCTTTTGTATTTTTTGGTTAGTTAGCATCAGGGAGCCTCAAGGGATTCCTTCCAGAAACCCAGCGTTGAATATAATGAAACGCCAATTTCTGGAGGAATCCTAGTGACTCCCTGCCACCCTCCGGCCCTCCGGGTTGTTTATTGGTTCATCACTGATTTGTCCATCAGGTCCAGAACTGATTTGTCCATCAGGTCCAGAACTGATTTGTCCATCAGGTCCAGAACTGATTTGTCCATCAGGTCCAGAACTGATTTGGGAGAGCCAGTTACCAGGCAGCTGCCAGGCTGCCTGGTAGTGGTAATTGGTACTAACACGTTTCAAACTTATTTGAATCCCTTGTTCCAGATTACAGAGTTGTTTGGGAGTTTATAAGGCTTCATTTTCTATGAACCTCTCTAGTTGTCTGTAAAGCTGCACTGACTTTCTGGAGCCTTTCTATGGTGAGATGGTGATTTGTCACCTGCTCCCTGCTACTCTTTATAAACAGGCCAGGTTCTGGCTCAGGCCAAACAGAACTATCCATGACTGATGTGACCTTTTAGTATGATGCAATCATCGGAAGATAGCTTCAGTCACTCCAGAAATTTGTGTGTAATTACATTTAACGCTGGATTTTATAACCTTGCAGCAGCTACATCAGCACCAATAGCTGAGCCGACAGGTGGATGTACAGTATATGGCTGCATGAGCACATCTAAGTCATCCTCAATGCAGCTTGGCTAGAAGCAACACCACCTCTGGTCTGCCTATATCTAACCATCTTACCAGACGGACTTAAACTACAGCCATGACCTGACTCTGCAGCCACCTGCAGTCTATGGTTCTATCTTACAGCTCTTCCTGTTACTACACAGTTGAGACATACATTAAACCATTGTAAACATTATAGCAAATATATACTGTATTACTGATCATATTATGTGTTTACTGCCCTACTTGTCAGGGTGTGGAAAAAAACAGTGAACTTAGAAAATCTTTGTCTGTAGTCTAATCATCTAAAGCACAATCATTTACACTTTACCTTAATAATTTTACATAATCTTGATACAATCATGTAACTTTCCACTTAATCTTTCTCAATATCAAATACCAAAATGTTTGCTTATCTAATATGCAAATTACAGTTGATCCACCCTAATAAAAGCTGCTCCCCAACAGAAGTTAAAATAAAATTAAATAATTTTGATCCAATAAGTAAATTGGCTGCAATGGAAGGAGTCTATAACTACACTTAAGCAGGAATCTACTGTATTGTGAATCAGTTAAGCTTAACCAAATAAAGCTTTATGTACCAGGTATATTGTACTGGCCATATTGGAGCTATGTAAAAATTCACTTCCTTAACATATTGTACTTACATAATTTGTATAAGTGGTCTGGTATGAGGAGCTTTGCGTCATAAATTTGCATCGGCCAAATATTTCTTTTACAACAATGTGAGAGGCATTCATGACACCAGGGCATGAACGGTCTCCCAGTGACATGGAAATCCCTCCTACACGTTCGGAGATATAAAATGGAATGGCAACTGTCATAGTATTCTCATCACAGCTCACTGACAAACCAGCCTGGATAACTCCTGCTACATCTTCTGCATACACTGAAAATTAAAATAAATTATTGACAAACTTAGGTGACATGTAGCCTAGTCTATTGTTCATGATACGTAAAGACACATGAGAATATTACTTTAATAAATTATAAAGCATGGCACTGATAGTAATTAAGCAAGAAGCTCAAGAAGACCCTGTTTCATTCATTCTCATTCAAGTGTGGTCTGGAAATGTAATGACCATTATTTGATTTAAATTTTATTGTTATGAAAGAGCCACAAGCAAAGGCAAATTTCTTACTTAATGCAAGGCTGGAAGAAGAATGTCAGAAGTGTTCAAAAGATATCTCCAGACCTTTTAGAAGCTGGTCAACTCATTCTTTGCCAGAGAAGGAGCTGGCTGCAGACGAATAAAATGCCTACCACGCAAAAAAAAAAAACAGCATTGAATGTAATGAAACACCATTTTCTGGGTGAGCACCGGAGGCTCCCTGGAGCTTATCGGGCTAATGTATGTTATATTAGTCTGGGACATTAGCTAAGGAGTTCAGACCTACTAGGGTCCAGAACCAGGCCCTTTCAGAGAGGTTTCAGGGAGCAATGGCCCTGGAAAACCCCCTTGTGGTTGGGGTTTTCTTTATCTGCCATCAACCAGGGTTAGGCACCCAGAAAGATAGGCATAACAAAACAAACCCCTCATGGTAAAAATAAAACAGAAAACTGAACAGAGAGGTAGAAACTCCCTACAATCCCAAGGAAACAAGCAAACAAGCAAACATCACACTTTACTGTTGAGCTGATCATCCTCGCAATTCATGAGTGAAATGATTCATTCATTTCATTATATAAATATATCACACTACACACTATTGAATAATACTACAGCAAAAAACTATGAAAAATCAGTCAGAGACATTGAAATAATTAGGTAATTATCTCTTTGTGGCAACTCCTGCCTGACAGCTGGCAAGAAACAGACCGTCTGAGACGCAGGGTGAGTCAGCACCTATTTTTTGCCAGACTTCCCCACCCTATAGTGGGCAATATATGCCACTTACGATTATTTTATTATTTTTCCAATGATCAGAGAACAAAAATTAACAGGTTTAGATTTTTTTTTTTTTTTTTTTTTTTTTGGTATGCGCCTGTGGGTGACAAATGCTAAATAGCCCGGAGCCACACAAGGGTTAAATACACAAAGTGCCAATTACAAACTAGGGAAGGCAACAAACGCAGCAAGCCTGAAGCCCCACCACCAACTGTACCAGTTCTGGAACCCTGGAGAGAAACGTGCCAAGAAGTGACCCAGAGGTCCTGGGCTACCATCCAGGCACCCGGCTCCAACAGAAGCTAGACCGGAGACAACAGTCCTCCGAAGAGCTCAAAGAATCTAAGGCACAGACTGAACAAAACTAGAAGAGCCTCAGATCTGCAAGGCCCGTGTCTGCATAGAGCAGACAGGAACCCCAGAAGGATGGGGCGGATTGACCATGTCCAAACGCACCCACCAAGATGGCATGAAGCGCAGGGAAAGAAGCCCACCCCGCCAGCCCCAAACCCCCTATAGGGGGAGAAGCCGTCCGCCGCCACCAAAGGCTGGAAGACAACCAAAACGCCCATGATCTGCGGGACTAAGTGAGAGCCAACAGAGCAAGCTGCTTCCCCAGCGCCCCGTCAACAGCAAAGGGAATGGAGTTGATTCCAACAGAAAAAGTATATATATATACATGTATGTATATAAATACACTCATAAGGTGTATTACACACACATGTGTATGTACATGCGCATACACACGTGCACACACACACAACATGCACACACATAAGTGTACACATGTATATGTATATATGTGTACACACATACACACATATATACAGTGGTACCTCGGAATACGAGTGTCCCTGTATTCGAGTTTTTCGGAATACAATGGGGCCTCGACTTACGATGCTAATCCGTTCCCAGAGACGGATCGTAAGTCGAAATATCGTAAGTCGAAGCGATTTTTCCCACAGAAATAAAGGGATTTGAATTAATCCGTTCCCCACCCTCCAAAATATTAACATACAAATACATTTTATACTGAATACAATGTTTTTTCCTAACTACAATACAGTACCTAAGTTGATCTTACCTTTATGGAGGGCTCTTGATGGCGTATGGAAGATGGTGATGAGGGGGGAGGAGGAGAGTTGTTACTGTTTGGAAGGGAAGTCCCCTTCCATTATAACATCAGGCAGTGATGTTTTCTCTGGAGTACTCTCTCTCCTATGTTTTGCCTGAATACCACTAAGACCTGGTTGTGGTTCAGTGCTTGTTTGTCTCACTACAAATTTGTCAAGAGACATTTGTTTTTCCCTTCGTTTTAACATTTGTCTGTAATGATGCATCACAGTGTCATTGAATAGGTTAAGGCAACGGCCTACTGCAGCTTGATTTGGGTGAGTCGTTTCAGCAAAGGTTTGTAGTTCTTCCCATGTTGCACACATTTTCTTAATTGTTGAGGAAAAGACATTCTGTACTCTTGTTTCTGCTCTATGGTCATCCTTACATGGGTTTTCATATGTTGAACCTTACCACTGACTTTCCTGGGACTCATTACGTGATATATAATAATTACTTTAATGATCAAAATGCAAAAAATCACCACAAACGCGGAATTTCTTATAGGCGCGATCATCACTAAGAGGGTAGCTGTAGTAAACTGAGGCAGGTCGGACCGCATGATCGGGAACCACTCGCTCAGTCAACCCGAACGTGTACCAACAAATATCGGAAGACGACGACACCATCGTATGTCAAGTCGCATTTTTCGAGGAAATTTACATCGTAACTCGAAATTATCGTAAGTAGGGGCAATCGTAAGTCGAGGTGCCACTGTACAAGCAGGATTTGCTCGGAAAATTTGCCTCGGAAGGTGAGAATTGCCTCGGAACACAAGGGTGTTGATACATGTACAGGCCGACTAGCTCGTGGTGGCACGGCGATCGCACCTCAGTTTACCAGTACCTTGCACCCATTGCCTATCCCGCCTGAATTCTCCACAATGATTTAGTTTTTTTGTCAGATTTTTGGCAATTTAAGCATAAAAGTTGTTATTATCTATTTCGCCATGGTTCCCATGAAAGCCAGTGGTAAGGTTTAACCTAAGAAAATAGTGCGGCATTTAGAGCGGCAACATTGAAAAGTGTAAACTCTTTTCACTGTCCTGACATTAATTTTCGATGTATGTATTTCATTTTTGTACCAATGTGTTCGCAATAGAATGTTCTAGAAGAACATATGTATAAAATGTCACCAAAGCATGAGTTAGACCAACACCATATAAAGAACTACATTGATCACTAGCCGTGAGCGCCAAACAGCGACGAAATGTTTCTACTCTTTTCAAGGTTGTCAACTCCACACTTGTCCTACAGCGTTAAATTTGGTATCATTGAGATTGCAATAAAATTCCCTACACGGACATATGCATATAAATGTAGAATCAATGTTACAGCCCACCCGCAAGAGTGTGGGAAGTGGCCGAAGTATTACCCGTGACAGCATATCGGTGAAACCCCTATTCAAAAGTGTATATTCTTTTCACTATTCTGACATTAATTTTCAATGTATGTATTTCATTTTTGTATCACTGTGTTCGCAATTGAATGTTCTAGAAGGACATAAGTATAAAATGTCACACAAGAATGTGTTAGACCGGCACCAAATAAAAAACTATGTCGATTACACTTGTCGTGTGAACAATACAATGGTCTTACCTCGATGGTGCAATGCTATGCCATTCTCCCAAATAGGCTATGTGGCTATTAGAAAAAATGAAAATTTAATGGAGAACATTTTCAAACTATCCCACAGTTGATCGCATAACAAATAGAGTTTATAGAAATATTTTTTCTCGTGACTCGTGAACGAGTCCACTGTGCGACCTCAACACAAAAAGTGGTAATGCTTTCAAGCGCCATGATAAGGCTAAAGTGTTAAGAAAATGTGTGAAGTATGGGAAGATTTGCAAAGTTTTGTTGAAAAAACTCACCCAGATAAAGCTGTAGCAGGCCGTTGCATTGACCTTTTAACAGTATCGCTCGTTCTCTTTGAACACCAATCATGTTCATTTTTTTCTCTTGAGTCCTAGTTGTGCACAGGACTCGAGTCCACTACAGGAATATTTGTATAAAATTCATTTTTTATCCGATTGACCTCGGGATAGTTTCAAAATCAGCGCTTTTAGAATGCGCACAATTTGATACCAAAATGAAAGATGTAACACAAAACTTGATGTCAGAACACTTGAAAGATTATAAATACTTTTTGGGTGTAAATTTTTAATTTTAAAATATTTGTTAAAATTCTATTTATTGTGCTATTATTATTATGAGACTAGCTTTAAAATGCACACTTTTATATTGCAAACAGTTTGATACCAAAAATCCAGCATTGAATGTAATGAAACGCCATTTTCTGGGTGAGTCCCGGAGGCTCCCCGGAGCTATCCAGGCTGAATGGACATGTATAACTTTCTGGCATCAGTCAATGCATAGAGTTCTTGGCTACCGGGGACCACGAGCCAGAACCTGGCCCCCTCTAGAGAGGCACGAGGAGCAATGGCCTATAGAGACCCCCCTTATGATTGGGAGCATTCTATGTCTGCCATCGACCGGGACAGGCACCCAGAAAGGTAGGTGCCCCAAAACAAACCCCTATTCTGGTAAACTATTGCGACCGAAGACTGAACAGGTGGACAGAACTCCCCAAACGAAAATTAGCCCTCATGACGTCATCATGTCGCCGCGCCGCCGTCTGCGCAATCCCCCCCCTCCCCGGGAGGGGGAAGGGGGGAGCCCCAGACCCCACCGTCAGTGACCCAACCATTAGTTCTTAGGCTGGATGTCAAAAACGCGAAAAACACCACCGACCGGAGGGAGGGAGGGATGCCGGGGAGCCTCCGGGACTCACCCAGAAAATGGCGTTTCATTACATTCAACGCTGGATTTCTGGGGGGGAGCCCCGTCGGCTCCCCGGAGCTAACTACCCAAAGATAAGGAAAAAC